CCTTCACTTTGCGCGCCGAAGTTTTGCCGACCTCCAGTTTTGGAACGTGGAAAATCCGCCGCGCCCCGTCTTGGGAGCGGGGGCCCGCGGAGGGATGGGAGAGAGAAGAAGTGGAGAGGCGCAGGGGGGCGCCAACGGCTGACGAGGGAGAGGGGCCTTGGAAGAAAAAAAAAAAAAAAAAAAAAAAAAAAAAAAAAAAAAAAAAAAAAAAAAAAAAAAAAAAAAAAAAAAAAAAAAAAAAAAAAAAAAAAAAAAAAAAAAAAAAACGCCGACAAGAAAGGGGCAAGAAGAGGGGGGGGGGGCGACCAGAGAGTACGCAAAGCTAAATACATAAGTAATTGCACGTATCAATTCCTCAATCCCCCCCCCCCCCCCCCCTCCTAGAATGACCCACCCCCCCTCCCCCCGCGCCGCCGCGCCCCCCCCCCCCCCCCCCCCCCCCCATCCCTGTAGGCGCCGCTGGGGGGGGGCAACGGCGACGGCGTGGCGCAGCCTAATGTATTTTAGACCTGGTCGCGACCTCCACCTCGGCAATCCATTTGGCCCTCGCCTTCTCGCCATGCCTCACATCCAACGCCGCGGGCGCTATTCTGCTCAGGCCCAGCATCGCCGCTTCGGCTTGCGCCAAGAATTCGCGCGTCGAACTCGTGCTTCCTCGGGTAAACCTGCGCGCAATATTGCATGGCAGTTGGCACCGCCCCCCGTGGCTTGTCGGCTGCTCCCAGGCCCACTTCACGGAAGCGTTCCTCAGTCTCGGGAACTCCACAGGGCACTGCGCGATCGCCGAAAACGCACCCAGGCGCATTTTCCTCACCTTCGGGCTCACGAACACGTTCGTGAACGCCCTGAGGTCCTGCAAGTGGAGGCTGCCACGCCCGCCTGCGTCGCAAACGACCTTGAACAGGCTCAGGAAATCGGGATGGTCGACTTCCGCGCCGCGCAAGTCCACCAGCTTGTCCCTCGCTGGCTCGCACAGCACGCACCCTTGAGGGTCTGGCTTGCACAAGCCCTCAAGGGGGACCATGATCTCCAATACCCCTGTTTTCATCGCGTTCTCGTTCCTTTTGTTTAACGCGATGCTGATGGTCAGGGATGCCTCGGGCTCTTCCTCATCCATTTTCCATGAAAGAATCTCCCATTCGAGGCCTCCTGCGCACTGCCGCGCCCACTCGGGGTCAAATCCCTTGAGCTTCTCCAGAGAATAGCGCCCCTGAGCGTCGAGGATCTTGGCGGTCGCGCACTCGCACTTGCCGCCGCGATCGTCTCCGCTACCGCGGAGGGCGCTGCAGTCGCATCCGCGTTTGCCTCCCGCGATGTTTCGCAGGCAACAATTCAAATGACTGTGCGAGAAACTACCACGCACCGCCGGTGCTTCGGGGTCTCCACAAAGCGCAATGTCTGGATGTGTCTTCTGCTGCGTTTCAAACACTTCCTGAAACTTGCCCCCCCCCCCCCCCCCCCCGCCACCGCGGGTTTTACTTCGACGAGTGCGCCATTGCTGCTGGCTTCGATGGGATCGTATCCATGCTTAAAAATTGAACGAATGAGTTCTTGTGTGCGCAACGATTTCAGTGGACCCCCGCCCCGTTTCACAAAGCGAGGCACCACTTCAAGAGGCGGAACAACCTTGTTCGACTCAATCCTGAAGCGCGCCCAGAAGGCGATTGATTTTTGATCACGCATGCGTTTGACTCGGGCATCCTCGCGCGATTTGCGCTGATACCGTGACCAAGGACGTTCTCACAAAACAACGCGTTTGGACTTTAACCAAACAGCAGCGGACAGGGAGGACAAGGAGGAGAACGGGAAGGAGGAAGGAGGATCATATGTGCGTGACAGCAAAAACAAACATGCAACCCTGATGGGGAAAATAACGCTTCAACAACGAGAAATTAGCCTGGCGAAGGACCCAGCCATATGCAGTTGAGAGTACCGCAATTGTGAATATCTTCTTCGGTGGCGCTCCCTATGGGGCCACGAGCCGTATGAGGGGTGTGCCGAAATGCGTGGCAGTGTACACAACACGAACGAAGACGATAGGTCCGAATATGAAAGCTTGAGCGCGTGCGAGTCGGATCGCGAGCGAGTCTGATTATGAATGAATCTGCGCGCGATTGATTCTATTCGCATGAATGCGTGCATGGATACGCCCAGTGTAAATGTATGTATACGACTGTGAACAGTTTGGGTCTGCGTGACTCTCGGTACTCGTGACTCTGAGCGTCGCCTCTGCAGGGGGCTTCCCTGGGAACCCCGACGGCAGCGCCCGCGCGCCGCGACGCCCATGTCGGCACGCCACACACCTGGTGTGCGGGACGCATGCGGACGGCAGCACTGGGGCCTTCGGTGGAGCTCCCTGTGGGGCCACGAAACGTGTGAGGGGTGTGCCGAAATGGGTGTGCGGGACGCATGCGGACGGCAGCCATGGGGCCTTCGGTGGAGCTCCCTATGGGGCCACGAAACGTGTGAGGGGTGTGCCGAAATGGGTGTGCGGGACGCATGCGGACGGCAGCACTGGGGCCTTCGGTGGAGCTCCCTGTGGGGCCACGAAACGTGTGAGGGGTGTGCCGAAATGGGTGTGCGGGACGCATGCGGACGGCAGCACTGGGGCCTTCGGTGGAGCTCCCTATGGGGCCACGAAACGTGTGAGGGGTGTGCCGAAATGGGTGTGCGGGACGCATGCGGACGGCAGCCATGGGGCCTTCGGTGGAGCTCCCTATGGGGCCACGAAACGTGTGAGGGGTGTGCCGAAATGGGTGTGCGGGACGCATGCGGACGGCAGCACTGGGGCCTTCGGTGGAGCTCCCTGTGGGGCCACGAAACGTGTGAGGGGTGTGCCGAAATGGGTGATGACGATGACGATGACGACGATGACAATGACGATGATGATGATGATGATGATGACGATGATGATGATGACGATGATGATGATGATGATGATGATGATGATGATGATGGGAGGAGGGAGGAGGGGGAGGAGGAGGAGAGGAGGTGGGACGCGGGGCGCTGTCTCTTCAAAACGAGGACCCAACACCACAGGATGGTTGGGAAAAACAAAACTGTGATGTGAATTGATAAATAAGTACCACTATGCTTACAACAACCCCCAGCGACATGCGGGCACTTGCGCCCGCGTGTCGTTCGGTGGCCTTTCCGCCGTTTATTATTTTTCCCAACCGCCGTCCATTTGTGAAAACAGATTATGTGGCCACGAAGCGCTGTCTGGCGGCGCGCACGGGGGGAGTCTTCTTAGAAGGAAGTTGCCTCTCAGAAAGCGCCGGCCGCCGTTGTAAGACACCAGGGGCGCACCGCTCTCAGAAGCATCCCAGCAGCTTCTTCGAAGCATGGAGCAGCTTCTTAGACACAGAAATCAGTTTCTTAGAAGAAAGTCGTCCTCTCCTTAGAAGCATGCCAGGATCAGCTTCTAAAGAGCAACCGCCAGTTTCTTAGAAGGGGCGCCCGCGCCTTCTAAAATGAGGGTGTTTCTAAAAAGCCGCCCCCCCTCCCGCCACCCTCCTGCGCGCGTGGCTGAGCTTGAGTGGGCGGCGCGGACGCATGTGATCACAGCCATTGGGGCCATCAGTGGAGCTCCCTATGGGGCCACGAAACGATATATTGGGTGGCGCGGACGCGCGTGATCACAACCACTGGGGCCGTCGGTGGAGCTCCCAGTGGGGCAACGAAACGCTGTACAGGGTGCGCTGAAGCGGTGGACATGCGGAGGGGGGACGTACGGGCGGGAGGAAGGGGAGGAGGAGGGGGAGGAGAAGGAGGAGGAGGAGGAGGGGAGGAGGACGAGGAGGAGGAGGGGGAGGAGGAGGAGGGAGCGAGGAGGAGGAGGAGGAAGAGGAAGGGGAGAGGGGAGGAGGGAAAGCTAGGTGCGCTCGCGTCATATCTGACATCCGACCCTTCCCTCCCATCCCTTATCAGGGCGCATATCCCCGCTCTACTCGCACAGTCGGATGTCGAGCAGGGCAATGATCCCGAAAGGGTACGCGATGCATTGTAGAGCACGGCGTGGCATGGCGTAGACGAGCACCGCGAAGCGTAGTATCAACCTAGCATTGCATTGCATGCCGTGGCATGGCACGGGAAATGACGCCAGCGTTGCAGCGGGAGCACGAGTCGAAACGAGCGGAAGCGCAGAAATGAGGCCAGCGCTGCAGCGGGAACACGACTCGGAACGAGCGGGAACACGCCGGAATCGGCCCGGGAGGCTTCCCGGGCGCCAGAAGCAGAAATTCAGCATTTTCAAAAGAAAAATGTGTATAGGAATGGCGTTTTTCGGCGCCGCCTCGGAACTCCATTTTCCGGCGCCGGCCGGAACCGGCTCCGGACCCGGCCCGGGCCCCGGCCCGGGCGCCGGCTCGGGCGTCCGGCCCGGGCGCCGGCTCGGGCGCCGGCCCCGGAATCGGCCCGGGAGGCCTCCCGGACGCCAGAAGCAGAAAGTCAGCACTTTCAAAGAACAATGTGTATTGGAATGGTTTTTTCGGCGCCGCCTCGGAACTCGATTTTCCGGCGCCGGCTGGAACCGGCTCCGGACCCGGCCCGAGCGCCGGCCCGGGCGCCGGCTCGGGCGTGCAGCCCAGGCGCCGGCGGAAATGATGCCAGCGCTGCAGCGGGAGCACGATTCGGAACAAGCGGGGCCCGAAAATGAGGCCAGCGCCTCAGCGAGAGCAGCATTCTGGACAAAAAAAAAAAAAAGCAAGCGAAAACCCAACTCCGGGGAAACCTGTGTGTTAAAAAACAATACGCGGGGGGGGTCGGATACCCCCAAGCCGTCGTCAGGGGAAGAGGGAGAGTAGTATTCATATTGAGTAATTGTGGAGGAGGAGGAAGAAGAGGTGGAGGAGGAGGGCGAGGAGGAGGAGGAGGAGGTTGAGGAGGAGGAGGAGGAGGAGGAGGCGGGGGGGCGGTGTCTGTTCGAAACGAAGACCCAACATCACAGGATGGTTGCTGGAAAAATGGGGGGCGCGCAGTCCCCACCCACCCCTGCGCGCCCTGCGTGGCGGCGGCCGCATGATCGGCGGGGTCTCCGAGCTCGCCAGGGACGCCATGTCCTGCCCCCGGTCGCAACCAAATAACGCCAAGCCAAGGAGGGCAAGGGTCACATGCCACCAGGGTAGTCCTGTCGACCCCCCAGCCGAAGGGCAAGTGAGGAGGTCGACGAAGCCGACGAGAAGGAGCACTGCACGATCATAAAAGTAAATTGGCGGACGCATGGCCCACTTGAAAAATCCATGGGTCCATTATCAAGCAAACAGTATCTGGAAAAGCCAGGAGGACGTTCCGCTGTACAGCGCACGTGGGTGGAGAAAATGAAATAAAAGGGCATGTGCACTTAGTGGTAGCATGTCTGACATTAGCTGCGCCCCAGTCGTCCTGCACTGGCTCGAAAGTGACCGCCAGAGAAGCAGGGGAGCAAGAGGAAGACCGAGTTTGGAAGAGGGGGCGTCAGTACGGCAAAGGAAGTGGAACGCACAAACGGGGAAAGCCTTGTGGGGCCACGTGACGTGTGACGAGTATGCCGACATGGGCGGCGAGGAGCATGTGGACACCGCCGCGGGCCTTCGGTGGAGCTCTCCAGGGCGGGCCACGAAACGAGCGAGGGGCGTGCCGAAATGGGTCGGGACAGACGCATGTGATCACAGCCACTGGGGCCTTCGGTGGAGCGCCCTATGGGGCCACGAAGCGCTGTACTGGGCGGCGCGGACGCATGTGGTCACAGCCACTGGGAATCGCGCTTTCACGTGGGACTTCTTTGCAATGGATTCAGACGCCGCGCCCTCGGCACTCAGGAGCCACGCTCTCCCTGAGGATTCCTTCACGATGTATGAGAGACTTGATATATCGCTCGAGACTTCCTCGCGATTCATGAAGGGCGCACGCTTCAACAACCCGCCTGCTCGACCTGGCCGTGTGGGCCCGCCTTCCCGACTCGCCGTTCAGGTCTGCCCGCCAGATCTTCCCGTCTGGTTCTGCCTACGTGCAATACGATCCTGCCCCTCGTCCTGATCCCTCCCCACTCCCCCTTCCTTCAATCCGTCATCTCCTCCTCTGCCTTAGGGGCCGCACGATATGCACGTTGCATCTAATCACTAATTCTCCAGTGAACTACGATCGAAGACGAAGAGGGGGGAAACCGAGGGTTTGGGATATACGTGATGAATGGCACGGAAACAGGTAAGAGCGAACACTGTTCAAATGATTGGTGTTGTTGTTGGTGGTGCTGCTGTTGAAGATGTTGTTGGGGGCGCCCAGGGGCAGTGGCCCGTCCCTATCCAACAGCAACAGACACAACAACAACAACAACAAACACAACTTCATCACCATCATCATCAACAACAACCAACACACCAACAACAACAACAACAACAACAACAACAACAACAACAACAACAACAACAACAGCAACACCACCACCATCAACAACAACACCATCAACAACAACTACAACAACTGCAACAACACCACCACCGACACATACAACAACTGCAACAACAACTGCAACAACAACAACCATGCAACCGTGTAAATAGTGTTCGCTCGTATTTGTTCGCGTGCCATTAAACACGTATGTCCCGAACCATCGATACGCGCCCTCTCCGTCTTCGATCGTACCACCTTGGGATTTAGATCTGTCTTACCTGCGACGTGTATTTCGCGCAGCCCCTTTGGCAGGAGGAGAAGAGGACGGATGGAAGGAAGGGACAAGGTCAAGGTGGAAGAATAATGATGGAAAACGAAAGACCGAAGCACCAGGGGAACTAGGAGCAGAATACACTTGGCAAAACCAGACGGGCAGATCGGGCGGGTGGACCCTGGCGGGCGGGTCGGGAAGGCGGACACAGGCGGCCACGTCGAGCAGGCGGGTTGCTGAAGCGAGCGTCCTGCACGTATCGCGAGACAGTCTGGAGCGACAGTGCGATTCCCAAATAAATCGCGAAGAACTCCACAACGAGAAAATGGGTCCTGAGTGTCGAGGGCGCGGCGTTCGAATAAACTACAAGGAAGTCAAACGCAAGAGCGCAATTCCTGTAAAAATATGTGAGGAAATCCTGCGCGAGAGCGCGATTTGGGAATCCATTGCGAGGAAGTACCAGGCGGGAGCCGCTATTGTTGTGAACGGGGGGAGGGGGCAACAATACAATTCTGAGACCCAAGACGTTCCTTCATAAGAATAAACAAGGTGCGAGGTGCGAGCCCCAGGAATGACACTTCAAGTCGAGGTGCGAGGTGCGAGCCCCAGGAATGACACTTCAAGTCGAAAAACAAAATGTGCCCCGGAGGGGGGATCAACAATCAGCATTCTTCAGCAATGACAATTCAACAACAACGACAACAGCAACAACAACAACAACAACAACAACAACAGCAGCAGCAGCAGCAACAACAATAAGACAGCTCGCTCCTATCTGCTCAAATGTCAGTCAAAGTGTATGTCCCAAACCCTCGATACCCGTCCTCTTGGTATTCGATCGTACCGTTTATGGGGGGTATGTATGTCTTCCCTGCCGGCCGGGCCCCCGCAAGCGGCGGGGCGGCCGCGGACAGTCGGCCTGGCCAGCGGCAGCGCTGACCGGCGGCAGCCCGACCCTAAGAGGGACGGACAAGGGACCGACCACGACGACGACGACGACGACGACGAGCGAAAGCGAGAGCGAGGGCGAGAGCGACAGCGGGGCCATGAAGGGCAGGAAGGGGGCCACGAAGAGCGGCAGCGGGGCCACGAGGGCATGCGTATAGGGCCACGAAAGGCGAGAACGAGCGGGGGCCACGAGGGGTAGATAATGCCAAATCAATCAGGCGACCCGCGCACTGGAGCAAAGGGGGCCGCCCGACAGCGAGATCTCCGACTTCGGGGCAATGCTCGCCATCACCGGCGCGGCGCCAGTTTCCGATGGCGCGGCGAAGTGCTGCTCGGAGAAGTCCGGTCGCACGGGCGTCGGGCTGCGGGCCTCTGCAGCCGCGTTCCGCGCTAAGAAGACAGGCGGGACCAAAGAGCGCGAGCCCAAGGAGGGCCCGAGTGAGGCAGTCGACGGGTCGGTGACCAGGCTCTGCCACTCATCGGCGCCCTCAGAGGCTCGCGGTTCCAAATGCTCCCTAGCGCAGTTCCCAACTCGGCCCGGCGAGGCAGTCCCGACGCATCGCGAAGACATTCGGAGCGCAGACTCTGCAGCGCAAACCATGCAGGAATTGGCTTCCAAGCTGATGACGTCGCCCGCGCGCTGGAGAGCTCGTCATTCTCGTTCGACAGAGCGCCCCTGCCCCAACTGAGCGGCATCGACGACAAGAGCGCCGAGCGGACAACCAGGACCAGTTTCAACGGCGCCTACGTCAGTCAATGAAACTCGTCGACCCCCAGAAGGTCGCAAACTGACCGCGTTCGAACAGTCCGAGCAGCGATCAGGATAATTGCCGGCTAATCGCAGCGGCGCGGGGCTTCGGTCAGCGCGCAGGTAGAGCCTCAGCCGCGTGCCTCTGGATCTGCTCGGCGGCTGGCATGGCGGAGAGCAGCGAGGCCCGGGCCCGGCGCGCGCGGCGCGCCGACTGGGGAGCGCGCGCCGAAGCGCTGCGGACGCACTTCCGCGGCGGCGCAGCCGCAGCCATGACGCGGCCAGATCTCATGGCCAAACTTTACCCTGCGTCTGCCACCCTCGATGCGCGCGGCCCCGCGCGCGCCGACAAAATGTGCAGGGAGCGAACGCATCGGCTGTCTTCTTCGGAATGCGCTGACGAACTCGCCGTCGCGGCCGTCGCGTTTGAACTGCGAATCCGCATTCACAGCATTCCGCATGCGCCGGCTTCTGCAGTCTCGCCACGGGCGCCGCCCAAATGTGCCGCTGCTTCGCTTCCTGGCGGCACGGGCGACATTGCGCACGCCGGCGTCGCCGATGTCCACGAGGTGTACTTTTCGCCGGGCGGCTGAGTGGCACCAAGCTCTGCTAGTGCTCCGAACACTTCTGGTCGGCGGGTCGGGAGCGGCCCCTTCCGGTTAAGAGCTAGGCGGGGCGCGCGAAGCCCGAATTAAGAAAACAAGGCGCGGGCGGGCGGGGCCTCGGGCGGCTGGAGGGCGCAGAGCACAGTCGGCGTCGAAGATCTTGCACAGGACAAGGTACGCCATGGACAGGAGCCGGGGGCGAAGTCCCGAAAGGAGAATGAATTGGCGTTGCCGTCGTCGGCGCGCCAAGAACACCATCCTCGAGTGCTGCGTGGGGAGGGCCGCGACCATGTCAACGTCCGCGAAGTAGAGGAAGACCAGGTAAGGAGAGGCCCAGGAGATGGGGATGACCACGAAGTCGATGTGCAACGTTGTGCCACCGGGTGGCCAGTAGCGGCCTGGAGTGGTAGTCCAAACCACGTCCAGGTAGCAACCACGAGGTTCGGCATGAAAGCCGACTGTGTCCGCCCGCCGTGGGCCAGGCCTGAGCCGCGCTGCCCAGGGTGACCGGGGCCGCCGAGGCGGCAAAGTGCAGTGCCAGCACCGAGCCGGAGCCACGCTGCGCCGGGCGCTGCCGCCATGGGGGGGGGGGAAGCGAGCGGGGAGGGAAAAAGCGGACAGGGAGGAGAAAGGCCAGCGTCCCACGCCAGCCGGAGTCCGGCCAGCGTGCACCGAGGTGCCCGCGTGGGGACACGCCCCAATGCGAACAGGTAAGACCCGAGGCCCCAGCGCGGGCGTGTCACGCACGTCGCTGTCGTACCAATGCACGCTAGTGCTCCGAACGCGCGCGGGCTTGCAATAGGGGCGCCCTTTTTCATGAGTGCGCAACGTTTGAGCATGCGCCACCAAAGTGGGCACGGGCTTCCCGCATAGGGGTGGGCGCGCCACCAAGTGACGCTGGCATCGCGCCATGGTGCGCCAGCATGCAACACAAACCATGTCGCACAGCCACCACCATCACCGCCATCACCACCACGACCATTCACCATCATCACCGACCCCACCAGGTTGATTTACATACATATATATATATGTTTATATATATGCAACTGTATATATACATGTATCGATAAGTAGATGGTGGATGTATAGATGGAGACATCGGTAGATACATTTATATATACGTGAATAGTTGTATAATTACAGTTATGTACAAACATATATACGGGTCGCGATATAGATTAGCAACTGTGCGCGACAAGGACAATTGAAGAAACCACCAAGGAATCCAGAACCATCGCAAATTGACCGCCTCCCCCTCCCCCCAACCTCATCATCGCCCGCAAGGCGGATCCTATCGGTATCTTTTTGGAGGTCGGAGGGGGGTGTGGCATAGAGGCGTGCGGTGCCAATGCTGAACATTGCGATGTTATGCACGATATCCGCAAAAACGATGCACTCCGGTTTCAAAAACGCTGGTTTCGCGTCAACCGCTTCGAACAAAATAGAAACATAAAAAACGAAACAAACAAACAAAAACAAACAATCCCCTGGTGACCGCGGTTCTATCTGAACGGCGACAACAGAGCCCAATACATGACGCCGTATCGCGGGGCACGCGATTCCAGAGATTCTGAAATTTCCGGAATTCATTTTTTACTGTTCTAGAATTACCGGAACATCGTTTCGCAATTTCCCAAATTTCGGTCTGCATTGGAAGAACACGATCCCTAAATTCTAGAATTTAAAGAACTACGTCTTCGGCGATACGGGAATTCCGAAATTTCAGGAACAGGTGTAGCGTTGCCGTTCACATAAGCCTGCGGTCATTCGGGGAACTTGGAATCAAGAGCTCCGACGTTGCTTGAAGCGGTCCGCGTCAAGCCAACGAGAATGCGACGCACTTGCGGCAATCGTACGTAGATGACATCTCCATTTTCAGCATTGGCACCGCACGCCTTTTATACCACACCCCTTTGCGACCTCCAGAACTTCTCCCCTGCATGCTGGACCCCAGCAAGCGACGGGGCGGCCGCGGATCGTCGGCCTGGCCAGCGGCAGAGCTAATCGGCGGCAACCCGACCCCAAGAGGGACGGACAGGAGACCGACGACGACGACGGCGACGGCGACAACGACGAGCGAAACGAGAGCGAGAGCGACAGCGGGGCCACAAAGGGCAGGAAGGGGGCCACGCAGGGCGACAGCGGGGCCACGAAGGGCATGCGTATGGGGCCAGGAAGGGCGCGAACGAGCGGGGGCCACGAAGGGCTGATAATGCGGGGCCACAGAGGGCAAGGACGGGGCCACTGAGGGTAGCAGCGGGGCCACGTAGGACAGCGAGGGGGCCACAAAGGGCGACAGCGGGTCCACTAAGGGCATGCATGTGGGGCCACGACGGGGGCGAACGAGGGGAGCCACGAAAGGCATACGTATATTGGGACGACGGGGCCACTGACGGCACCAATGGGGCCAAGAAGGGCAGCGAGGGGGCCACGAAGGGCTACAGCGGGGCCACGAAGCGCATGCATATGGGGCCACGAAGGGCGCGAACGAGCGGGGGCCACGAAGGGCATACATAGATGGGGCCAGGAAAGGCTGCGACGGGGCCACGACGGGCAGCGGGGGGGACACGAAGGGCTGCAACGGGGCCGCAAAGGGCAGCGAGGGGCCCACGAACGGGTGCAACGGGGCCACGAAGGGCAGCGAGGGGGCCACGAATGGCTGCAACGGGGCCACGAAGGGCAGCGGGGGGGCCACGAAGGGCTGCAACGGGGCCACGAAGGGCAGCGAGGGGGCCCCGAAGGGCTGCAACGGGACTACGAAGGGCAGCAAGATCTTGATTCCTAAGTAAGCTGTGAGGGAGTCCTTTGCGGGAGCGCGATTCCTGGGTGCCTGAGTGTCAGGAGCGTGGCGCTTGAGTAAATTGCGGTGAATTCCAACCCAAGAGCGCGATTCTCCAGTAAATTGCAAGCGACTCTCCAGCGAGAGAGTCCCAAGCGAGAGCGCGATTCCCGAGTAAAATGCGAGGAAGTCTCAGGCGGGAGCGGGGGGCCTGGCTAAGTTGTGAAGAAATCTCATGCGGGAGCCGTTATTGTTGCAATCCGGGGGCAACAGCGCAGTTTGAGCCGAGTGACTTTCCCGAATTAAAAAAAACAGGGTGCAAGCCCCGGGAGAAGCACTTCAACTGAAAAAAACACAGAATGGTTACCAAGAGGGGGATCAACAATAATGATTGTTCAGTAGTGAGAGTTCGACATCAACAACAACAATTCGCACCGCGGATGACTCAGTGAATAGGGAACAAACGCTGGGCCCCCTCACTCTGATGTAGGGGTAGAAAGAGGCAAACGCTAAAAGGAAGAGGAATCGGAGGAAACTGATACAGAAAAAGGGGAGACGTGGGAATGCAATGTGGAAAGGGAGGACGAGGTTAGGGGGAGGTTGAAGAAGAGAACGAACAAGCAAATTCGGGTTAAGAGAATCATGATGAACGCAGGTAAGAGGATGACGAACTGGCGGACACAGGACATATACCAATCTCGAGGTAAGGCTGACAGAAAAAGAAAAAGACTATGGCCAGGAGGAATACGAGAATACGAAAGAAGAGGGGACGTAGAAGGGGAGAAATCAGAATATGACTAACAGAGAGAGATGGACAGAACGCCTGGTCCTCCACGAAGCGGTGTGTATCTTCGTTATACTACAATTCCTCCTTCTCCTCCTCCTTCTCCTCCTCCTCCTCATTCTCCAAGGGGCCGCGGCGGCGGAGTCGACCGCGGTGCCCTCTGCTCTCGAGTCCCCGAGTCCTCCTCATCTCTCCTCCTCCTCCTCCTCCTCCTCCTCCTCCTCCTCCTCCTCCTCCTCCTCCCCTCCTCCTCCCCCTCCTCCTCAATCTCCTCCTCCCCCTATTCTTTCTCGCCCTCCTCCTGGTGCTCCTCGTCCTGGTCCTCCTCCTCCTTCTCGTCCTTCTCCTCCTCGTCAGCGTCATTTTGAGTCTCGTTTTCGTCCTGAGTCTGATCAGGCTGATCCACAAATTGTTCTACTGCATGCGACCACACTGTCCTGATCGAGGCAACTCGCCTGGGCATCTTTCATTGATTGGCTATTGGGGATACGCGAAGCGTCAAGCATAACAAAAACACCGTCTTGGCACACGGGGAACGAAGAATTGCATGAATGCTAACATTACGTGTCGGAACTCTGCGCAGATTTCTTGGGTCGGCAATGAACCCCCCCCCCGCCTTCCCTGGCGAGCCGAGGGCGCCAAGGGCGGCGCCCCGAGAAATCCGTGCAGATCTCCAAATTCATGCCGATCTTACTGTCAGAGTCCTCCCTTGGCTACGACACGCCATGGCCGCTCTCCTGCCTGAGCATGGTTCCACCGATCCCTATCCCCCCTGGCGTGGCCTCGGCCCCTCTGGCCGACTTACCCACCTACGTGGGGATGCATGATCCAGGGCTCAAGGCCCACGGGCCCCCCCGCCCCAGATGGGGGGGGGTCCCAGGGCCCCACGGCACCCCCCGCACATGGGGCGGGTCGGGGGGGGACGACGACGACGACGACGACGACGACGACGACGACGACGACGACGACGACGACGACGGCACCACAGCACCTTCCCACACCCAAATCGCGCGGTGGCGGAGAGGGGGGCGAAGGCATCAGCACGAAGAGGAGGGGTGTGGGGTCTGGAGCCCTGGATCACAAATGCAAGTGCCTTCGGGTTTCTCGGGGCCTATCCCCACCTGGGAGGGTGGGCTGGCAGGGCTGAGATACCGTGGCCCAGTGGTGAGGGGGATAGGTCAGACGGTGCTGACACCCGGCGGGGGGGGGCACTTCGGCGACGCGGATCCCTCCCAGGACGAACCCGCGGCCAGAGAGGGGCCCCTCTGGCCGCCGGCCCTCGCCCCAACCGGCCTCGTCAGGCCGCGCGGCAGCTTCCAGCAGCTGCGCGGTCGCCTGGACAGTCACCGCGCTGGTGGGTCCCCCCCTTCGATGAGGAATGACGTGCCGATGAGGATCACGATGTGTTCGATACCACTGCTGGTTTTGGCTGCTGCGGCTGGCCAGCGTCTGAGTGCCAGAATGCGTGTTGCCCCACTGCCCGCCTGAACTCCATTCAATTTCTGCATGGACTGCCGAGGCCACAGCTCCACGGCAGAACCAACAGGTTATCGCAGGCATAGGCGCCGGAGGGGTTAGAAACTCAGTCAGAGGTGACGTGGGCACACCTGGCTTGGCCCCCATCATCTTTCCCCCCTCTGGCACGATACTCGCCTCAAGAAAAAGCGTCGGGCCTTGCTCTTGAGGAACATGCATCAACCAGTGTCGACGGTTTCTCCGTCCCCCTCCCATGTGGGATGGATCCCACAGTTCCCACGTCGCCCCCTCAGATGGGAGATGGGAGGGAAGGGAGGCGGGGGGGGGACGATGGCCTGGAACCCAAGTGGCTTTGAGAAAAATGAGACAGCCCTACAGACTCTAGGGACCAGCCCTGCAGACTCTACGGATATTCGGCGAGGCAATTGGAGCTCCTGATACTGGATGCCTTCCCTTTTCATGTTCCTCAAACCTACGACGGTCGGATGGGAGCTAGCGTGGATACGAACGATAATGATGATGTTGTTGTTGCTGGTGATGATGGTGATGGCGATGTCGCCGCTGATGATGATGATGATGATGATGATGATGATGATAATGATAATGATAATGATGATGATGATGATGATGACGATGATGACGATGATGATGATGATGGTGATGATGAGTAGACTGACGATGATCATGATGATGGTGATGGTGGTGGTGGAAGTGATGGTGACGGTGACGACGACGATGATGGTGGCGATGGTGATGATGATGAAGATGGTAATGGTGATGATGCTGATGACGATGGTGGTGATGATGACAAACTTCCATTTTGTCTGCCAGACAATGTCTTTGCTGCAGGGGCCAATGGCAGATATCCCGTCGACCGACGGGCATACGAGAGACGACCTGCAGCAGCCAAACAACATGAACATGATATGAGACAAAAGCGAAAGCGGGAGGGAGAGATGGGCAGCTTCAGCCGCAATGGTTGCGACACACACACATTCCAAAGATCACAACACTCAGCATGCAGCTACACGATCAACTGCCATTCTGTCTGCCAAATAATGTCTTTGCTGCAGGGGGTAAGGGCAGATATCCCGTCAACCGGCGCGCATGCGAGAGACGACCTGCAGCAGTCAAACAACATCGAGACGATATGCACCAGGAATGGTTGCAATCCCTGGCCAAAGGCCGAACGAAGCATTAACAAACGATCGCATTCACAAGGCGAGGCGACTGATACGAGCGCCTCTCACATTCTCATCCGCCGAGGCCATCCAATCAGAATCCCAACGGACGAAATCCCTGGGAAACCGGTGGACAAAAAACCTCCACGGCACACCGCGAGGGCCCAAAGAGGCAAGATCGGCATGAAACCTACGCGGCCCAGAACACATGTTACCAATGCCAGCACAGGTGGGTCGGACCTTGGAGGCGGCGAGACAGCCCAAGACCAAATATTGGTTGGTCTTGGGTGGACACTACTGTGCTGGCACAGGTTTAGATTATCCGGTTGCGTAGCCAGCGACATAGCATACTTGACGGAGGCAAGGCGAAGCGTAGGACACGCGGCACAAGCCTCAGCGAACACAGGGACCCTCAGGCGATTGCACTCTAGGATCAAGGAGGACAGCCCACCACAGAGAGCCCGAGAACGAGCCGAGGTGACCCCAGGACCCGAGGCCACAGAGGCTCAAACGCCCAAGACCACCGACCCGCGCAGCCACCCCAAGATCCTCCGGCGCACCGCGGGTCGAGACCAGCCGAACACAACGCCATGTACAGGGTCGACGCCAATGGCGGCGCACCCTAAGGCGCGCAAGCGCGCAACGATGGGACGAGAGGATCTTCCAAGCCCCAAAAACACGCTGCGGGGCCTCACTGAAGCAGCAGACATAGCACTTTTCCACCTGCGCGCCAGCGCGGGTCTCACCTGCCCACGAGACGTCGAGTGAGGCCGCCGCGGGATCCGCGGGTCGAACGGCGGGCGATCCGCGGCTGATCGCCTCGAACAGCGGCGCCCAGTTCCGATCCACCTGGCGGTCGAAGGAGAGCACTGCCCTCCCGAGGACGCGCCTTTGCTGCTGGAGCTTGGTGCGCTGGGCGTAGCGGCGGAGCGGGCAGTCCGTGATCTTTCTCCCACGATCCTTAACCACGGCCACTGACCTTCTCGCACCGAGCAAGTCGTCGCCGGCAGCGCTGCGGCGGGGCACGCACGGCGAGGGCGGGGCGGCGAGGCCGAGCGCCTCGGCGGCACTGTTGAAGGCGACGCGAAACTCCTTCACCAGGAAGTCCCACTGCTGTGCTGCACCAAGGCGAGCCGTCTTCGGCGCCGCCCTGAGCGGCCACCAAGCGGCCTGGTCCGTCACGACGCTCTCCCCGCCCCCCCTCGCCCTGCTGGTTCTCGACCGCGCCGCGCGGGTAATCGCCGTAGCAGGCGGCAAGTGGCGCGCCGCAGCCAGCGGCGCGCGCCCCGCGGCCGCGTCGAAGCCGTCCAAGGCCAGGAACGCCAGGAAAGCCGTCAAGGTCACGTCGTGCTCCTGCGTGGCCGACCAGAGCAGCCCCATCCCCAGGCACCGGTTGACTAGCCGCTGAGCGCGAGCTGCGCATTGCTTCACCGTCGCGCCGGAGAGGGCCCCAGCCTCGACGAAGCTGAGACACCTGCCCTGCCGCTGCGACACCGTCGCCTGAGGCACGGGGCTTTGACGAGCCAGCGTCATCGCCCCCTGCGGGCGGCCGCGCCGAGAGATCACCCGGCGCCCCGCCTGCGGTCGGGCTAGCGGCCTGCCAATCGGGCCCCGCGAAGAAGCCGCCCCGCGACGGGGCATCGGACGGGTTGAACTCCGAGGGGGCCCACCTCACATGCGCGCGGCAGCCCGCAGCTAGGAGCAAGGACGCGAACCTCCTCGGGGGGCGCGCGAAGTTCGACGTCCTCCCGCATCCTGCGCCGACGCTGAGAGCTAGAGCCAAGTTGTCGACGAACATGTCCAGACGGTGCCCCGAGAGCGGCACAGGGATGACGCAAGGCGAACTCCAGAGGAGCCCCCTCGGACTCCAAGATGTTCTTAGTCTTGAACGCGCGGCTTGAGTGCACGATCTTCCACTGGGGAGCCCTCCAACAGCTGCTATGGGATCTCCATGAAGGGGGGGAGCCGCGCGCAGCGACCAGGGAGCCCTCGAAGTCGGCGACAGCTTCTGCACTGGGAACCCCTCGGAGCCCATCGCGATCCCCAACGGGCCCCTGTCTAGACTCCAGTAGATGCCCTTCAGCTCCAGGACGGCCCGCCTCGTGCCCAAGACGATATCCACCTGGCGCGCGCCGACGAGCGGCGATGGCGCCATGGAACTTGCACCTCGTCTCTCCAGCGAGGCGCCCGACGACAGCAACCACGTGCACAGGCAGCTTACGGCGGCAGACCCCTACCCCGTATCCCGAGGAATCCGAAGCGCGACGGGGGCCCACTGGAGGCGCCTAGAGGCCCACTGAGGCAGCGAAGACTGAACCCAGCGGAGCTCCTTGAGGACACCATCCCACTACTTCATGGGCTCGGCGGATCGCTATCTTGCGAAGGCGAAGGTAGCGGACAGCATCGACAGCGTCTCACGCCTGCGCAGCATCGCCCAAGTGGACACAGCGCGAGGAGACATCTGACCATGACGCAACACAGAAAGAATACCCAATCGGAGACGAGCGATGCGACAAAAGGGCATTCCCATGCTACCCTTTTGCCCGTGAAACTCGAAGCCCGTGAAAATCACGGAAGCGCGAGCCTCCTGCACCTCGTGCACAAGCAATCCGTGCGAGGCCACGACGGCAGAGATGCTCTGCAGCTTGGAATCGGCGAGCTCCTTCGACCACGCGGCGACGCAGAAATTGTCGACGTAGGCGGCCACCGCACAAGACGTCGGACGCTGCAGAGCGAAGGACGGGGCCCCGTCCACGATGAAGCGATCAGCCTCAGCTCCAACATCCCGAGAGATAATCTTGATTAAGGCATCTTGGCAAAAGTGGAGCGTCCAGTTCCAGCCCATCGGCATGACCAAAATCTCGGGGACCACGTCCACGTCGAAGGGAACTCCGTCGTAGTCCAGAACCCGATTCGCAATGCACGGGAGCGCGAAAAGATGAACCAACTCCAAAGGAAGCTTTAATGAAGCACTGAATGTCGGCCGACGCCATGTAAGCCGCGGCGCTCGCAGCGATCTCCACCCCAGACCAGGCCGCAGTCGTGAGTAGCTTCGTGCTGGCTGGTTCTGCGAAGGACGCATTGGCAATGCGAGTGTCGAACACCATCCTGAGGCTCCCGTCCTTCTCGGTTACAAAGAACACCCCTACCGTCGGCTGCTCTCGGCCTCGACGGACACGGAAACGCTGCACGCCCACATCATGAAGGCGACGTAAAAAGTCGGCGCGACGATCGGGGCAGCTCATCAAAAGACGCATGGCTTGACATGTCCTGACTCTCTGCGTCTAGCAACGGCGGTCGACTCGGGGACTAAGTGGCATTCTCGCCCTCCATGACTCCAGCCTGTCAAGAGCGGCCTCGCTGCAGATTGACTCCAGCGGTGCCGGCACCGTACCTGCAGCAGGCCAGGGCGCGAGGTCCTTGGCGCAAGGTCGAACTGTAGCATCGTCTTCACAATGCCCAGGAGTATTGCGGAGCAGCTCTGCAAGGGCGGCAACCGAGGTGGCGGTGCTCACGCAGAGGTCGGCGGGCCATTCCAAATTCTTGGAATGATCTACAATGCGCTCCAAAGCAAGCCTCTAAGGAAGATGGACGGCGCCGACAGGCGCGGCAACCTCGCGAGCAGCACGGACCTGGCCGTTCATCTCGTTGAAGGTGTCGATGCACTCGTTAGTCCAC